AATGTGTAGACTTCTCTCTATTATGTGTAGACTTGCAAAGGACAGAACCGTAAAATAACTGTCTGTTTTTTTGTTTGGTCACAAGGGTTAAGTAGTAACTTCATAACCCCTTTAGGTTGGTTTTGCATTTGACTCAATAAGGGGTACACCTTTAGGGTTGAAATGAAATTTTAGGTTGGTTTTGGCAAATCCCCCTAAAAAAAATCACACATGAATCAAAGTCATACTTCTATTTTAATATATAACATTTATTATAGACTAAACCATGATTCAAAAAGCTGGATATACATGAACATAGCAATTTTGATACTTTCATCTTTATATATTAAAAGAAGTCATGACTTAGTTCATATTTGAATTTTTAGTTTGGACCAACTTTTAGAAAATTATTTAAATTATATTATGGATAAACATATGAATTATTTTAGAACAAAAAAATCAAATAGCTATTCTTATATTTTCCCTAAAATTATATCTGAATAAAATCTTTTCATATCTTTTTATTTACAATATATATATATATATATATATATATATATATATATATATATTTATTTCATTTTTCCTTAAAATAAACCTATAAATATTTAATTAATTTCGTATTTATTAAAATAAATGTATATTTCATTTTTACTTAGTTTCTTAAAAAAGTTTAGTTAATTTTGTTATTATTTAAAAATTAAACCTATATTTCACTTTAACTAAAATAAAATTTTTGAATATCAAATTAATTTTGTAATTATAAATAAAATCATGTACATTTATGTATTAAATTTGTGATACTAATTTAATATAATAACTTTCAATTAAATTTTTATTTTAACCAATAATATTTTCAATTTATAATTTGGTATCACATGATTTAAAATATGTTATCACTGAAATTTTTTTAAAAACATAAATAAAATTATTGCATTGAACTATATATTGTTATTTTAATAATATAGATTAAACAATTAATAATATGATAAATATTACAATTAGTCATGTAAAACAAATAATCATGTCTGTAAAAATAAAAATACTTATCATATTTATAGGTCTTTCACATTTAATCTCTTAACAATAATATTAATTTTGAATTAAACTTAAATGCTTTAAATGAATATTATGCCACACATTAAAGCGTACAAGACATTGAATAACATCTTTAACATCACAATGAAAGATAGTGTCTCAATATCTCAGATTTCCAAAGCAAAGAAATTGAAAAATGTGCTAAATAGTGAGTTTTAAATGAAAAAATGGGAGATACTAAGAAAATACTAGGTATGGAAACTGAGAGAGCAGAGTAGTAGCTATGTTGTTTATGGGTATCTCAAAAAAGCTACTTAAGGAGAGTTCTAGGAAACTTCAAGATCGATCAGTGTAAATCAACAGCCACACCTATGGGAGCTCACTTAAAATTAATGTCTCCTACAGAACAGAAGTACAAGAAGCAGGTTGGGTCAATGGAAGGTGTCCCTTACCAGGGTGCAGTAGGGAGCATAATATACGCTAGGATAGGAACAAGGCCTGATTTAGGATACATGGTTGGTCTAGCAAGCCATATCATGAGTAAAACAATTCAAGACCATTAGAGTGCAGTGAAGTAGATATTCAGATACTCGGTTTATGTTACAGAAGAAAAGGGGATTTTGTGATCATGTGCTATTGTAATTCAGACCATGCAACAAATATGGATTATAGAAGGTCTATAAATGGTATTGTCTTCACTGCATGTGTAATATTATTAACTGGAGGTCTCAGTTACAAAAGGTTTTGTCACTTTCAACAACTGGCATTTTTACAAAGATATTACTATCAGTGTATAAGGGGGGGGGGGGTAGTAGGGTTAGAATTCATATAGAGTTGATCGATTCTAAAAATCAAGAAATTTACTAGATTTGAACAGAGTTATAAAGAGTTTTCCATATTTAAAAAGTTTATCAAAATATTTTAATATAATGATTTAAAGAATCTAGAGTATATATGCAAGATTTGTGGAGTTTTGTATTATGAGTTAAATTGTCTAAAATCTTAGTTTCAATAACAGTAGTGATGATGGAAGCATAGAATCACTAAAAAAAAAATATTTTAATAACAAGAAACGTTATAAGTCACTTAAGAATCATAAAAAAACATAACACTAAATCTTATTAAGAATCTTAGAATCCATTAATCAATAATAAGGGAATTAAAGAATTTCAACAATCATTATAAATTTACACCTCACTAACACCCTCTAAGGTCAATGAAGCATTGCAGATGCTTCGGATTTCAAGATGATAAAGAGTTACAATAAAGAATCATATCTGAATAGCTGGAAAGTTCTCGACCCAAAATCCCGGACATTTCTTTAGAGCACCATTAATAGGGGTGCTTAATGGAGGTGCTTAATGCTTTTTGTTAATAGATCCCAAGCAAAAGCATAAGCACCTCCTCTTAGAGCAGCCTTAACGCAAGTGCTTATAGAGGGTTTTAATGTTTTCAGATTAAAAAAAAATTATGTAATTAAACAAAAACAGACGCTTAATTTACAAGCCACGGCGCTGGTGAAACACGTGTTGGACATTCTGCGTCCTTTTCTCTCTCTCGACGGATTGATTAGATGTTGAGAAGAACAGTTCTTTTCCAATTCGTTTCCGGCGAACTAGGACATGCTCGACTAGTTCGCCGATGCCTTGTACGGAAACCTTAAAATTTGTACTCACAAATCGAAATCGAATTCGAATCTTCCCCATTAACAATCAAATCCACTGAGGAGCAGAGCTAGCGTAACTGCTGGGATCAAGAGAACAGCTGATGATTCTATGGCTGCAACTCGTGGGTGAGAGATTCTCTTCCTTTTCTTATATGATCATAGTCACAGAACCATAAAAAGACTGTTTTTTTTGTTGCTTTTAAAGGGATTTTTGATCAAATGATCAGACAGAATTCCTATAATTGTGATTAAGCAAATTCTCTAAAACTAATTGGAAGTTTCTCTGAAATCTCTTAACCTCTACCATGATCAGAAACATTGGTGATAGAATTGGCCATGTTCTTCTGGTGGATTTTAAGCTGGAGACTACAGGAGATGTTGAATTTGTGCGGATTCAACTTAATTGGGATGTCTCAAAACCTCTGAGATTTCAGAGAAACTTCCAATTCTTCCAATTATAAGAATTTGCATGTTGGGTATGTGTCTTTCTTTTAAAAGAATTTTTCTCTGGTTCCATTGTCAGTTTCTTGTGTTGCTGTAAATTCTTATAATGATTCGTTAATTACAAAATAATTCCGTCGTTGCTTTGTCTTTGCAGAGTTGATAGGAATAAGTATCAGATACAGATGGTACGGTCCAAAAAGACAGAATTCTTATAGCGTTTGATCTCTCTGGTCTTCTTGCTGTAGAACTGAATTATGTAATCTTGTGTTCTGTTGTGTTTTCATGTGTAGTGTCGATTTGGTACTGAGTCTTGTGTAGTTGTGTCATGTCTTTTTTGTGTCACGGATTTGTAACAAGAGTAGTAAAGAAATATTGGCATCTTGTGTCACAAATTATCATGTAAAGAAACAACTGGGGGTGCTAGGGTTGGAGGACATAAATGTTGAGGTTTCATAAATAGAGTGCTTAACATCCATTAATTAATAAAAAAGTGATTAAGCATCCCTCATTGCCTAAAGAACCTATTGCAACGCAGAAGCTAGCATTTTAAAAGAAACTTGACATACAAGTTAACTTCGACCATATCAAACCATCTTATAGTAAACTCGTTTCAGGTCAAATGTAAACTAATCACAAGCTTTTTTCATCATTAACAAACACACAGAGCAATTTTCTGTTACTCTGTGGAAAGATGCAGGAATACAAAGAAACAAAGCATAGTAGTATCAACAACTTCAAGATAATTAGCTCACAATGTCTATCCTCTTCACTCTGAAACTGATAGGCAATGCTGCAACCTATAGCCACTAGGGACACTCCCCATAAGCTGAGCCGGTTCTGCATTCCCAACGATCCCTCCTTCTTCACTCCTAACCAAACCAATCATCCTACACCAAACCTCCTTCATTGCACAACCAACACAAGCAGAATCTTCCCATAAAAACGCCATCTTCCCATAGTACTCTCCCATTGCAACGGACCGAACCTTCTTCATATCATCCAAACCATTCACCACTCTCCATAGCCCCAGCTCAGTGTCGTACCACATCAACCCCAACCTAGCGTAATAAACGTAAAGCACATTGTCCATCACACACACGCCAGTCTCCCACCACCTATCTTTCGGCAAATCAAACACCTCACAAGAACCATCTCTAGGATCGTAGCAAATAGTGATGGCTGCAAGATACATAAACCCACAAACCTTCCTGTCTAACGACACATTAGCAGTCGAAAAAGCCAACCTTTCTTCGTCAGGACTCGGTGTTAGCTCCCAAGTTTGCGTCTTTAGGTCGAATGATTCAGCTTGATGAATCTTATCGTTCCTATAGCCTCCCACCACGTATATCTTACTGCCCACTAACCCCACGCACTTGAAGGAGTGTTCCACGTTCATGCTTGGTCCTCGACGAAACTCGTCGGTTCGAGAGTCAAAGATCCATACGGTTGAGGAGGGAACGTATGATCCGGAGATAAAGAAAATCTCTGGACCACAGGCGATGATGGAAGGCATGGGCTCGGCGTGATCAGGAAACGTGAGATCGTCGACGGAGACTAATTGATTCTCCTCAGTACTCGGGTTGTTCTTAGTTCTGCGGAGAGTGAACCAATGGGACGTGTGGCCCACGCCATCATCATTCTTGTGCATGAAGCAGATGTAGACAGAGTCTTTGCCAAGGGAAGAGCGGGTCTTGTGAATCTCCGGCGAGCGAACAAGAGAGAGTAAGTTCTTGGAGACGCAAGCGAGGATTGGGTATAAGCGTTTCGGCACGCGGGCTAAGATGAGCCATTCGAGGTCCTTAGGCAGTGATGAAAACTGTGACGGAGGAGACATTGGTTTCTTGAAGTTTTCGGAGGTGGCTCGTCGGCGTTAGACGCGGGAAAGAAAGACTTCAGAGTTAGAAAGGCAGTTAAGACGAATCTTATCTTTTAAACTACAGATGAGAAGTTCGTTAAGTCCGTTATTTTTTTGGTCAACGTACTAATTGTTGACAAACTTCAAAAATAATTATGCTTTTTCTTTTAAATTATGCTTAAAATACACAGCATTGGCAATCAAAGTTTTACTAGGTGACTCACCCGCACCTTGTGCGAAAATAAAAATGGGCAAAATTAGCGTTGGCATGCTTTGATCACATGTAGTGCACAAAAACAAAGATTGGATATCAACATCAATATTGTTTGTAGGTATTATTTTTGCTGTAGTATTAATAGTTCAATCTATATTCATAACTAATACATTGATAGTCATAATGGTAATGGAAGTCCCAACCAGTTTCTAAATGACAATATGTCAAAAATCTTCGTCGGAATGTTAGCAAAAAGAATCTTATCATGTTGCCTGGATAATTCAATGAAAAATCTAGTTCATATACGTCAGTGATATGAATGATATCTCTATTGATTAACAATTCCTTAAGAACAAAACATCCAGAAAAAGATGATGTAGTAGTAAGGGTGTTCAATCTGGATTTTGGTTCAGTTTCTGTTTAATTTTTTGATTTTTCGGTATTTTGGTTTACAAAACAAACTACCATATTAAAACCATATAGACTTTGTTTGGGTTCGGTATATATACCGTCGGTTTTCGGTTCTTTCAGTTTTACACCAAAAAACCATATTTATCTTTTATAACATTTTGTGAATTTTACTTAATATGATTAAATACCAACTTTAATAAAACAGAAAAAAATTCAGTTTTAAAATAGACTATTTTTATTTTATTTTTATTTAATATTTTAAATAATTAATAAACATATTAAGTTAATAATAATAACAATTTTCAGAAATAAAATAGGAAAATAGTAATAATATCATTATATTATTAAATAACTAAATATTAGCACACATATTTGTCAACGAAAAAAGTAAAACTTGTTTTGTATATTCTGATAAAAATGAAAAAAAACTAACATTTAACTTAAAAAAGTAATATCAAATTACTACATCAACTTTTTAAGTATCATATCAATAACTTTACGATCATGCATGACCGTTGTCTAGATCGTCTTCATATTTTTGATCAGATTTGATTCAATTAAAGCATGAATTCTTGTCACATGTTTAAACATTAAAAGGTTTTTGTGGATCAGTTAAAAATAAAATAAAGTACCATGCAAATAATTAGTAGAATTAGTAGCTATCAAAATCATTGCAATTCAAAATATATTTAAGGAAAAAACTAAATCTTCGTAAAAATGACTTTGCCATTTAAAATTTTAATTAGTAATAATAACTATCTGCTTTCTTATCGATGAAACCATTTAGTAATATTTTCTGGTTTCTTTGTTAAAATTCATCCACAAGTGAATGATCTTAACTTCGATACGCCATGTTTCTTTAAATGATTTTTAAGTCTTTAGCATAAGAGAAAAAACACATTTTTTGTATGTCTAACCATTGCCTTTATTATTCTTAATTGATATATCAAAAGAGAGAGATATTTTTATGATAAAATCTTGGTGACCAGAATTATACACTTAGAACTTTGATGTTCTCTTTTTTTTTATTACATCAAAATATTAGTCAATTACTCAAACTTGAGATGGTTGAAGAATTCAGACCGGAATAGAACAATCAATAAAAGCTAATTTCTATAGAAAGCTCGAGCCTTCTTGGACAATCTATTTGTTATCCAGTTATGGAGCCACTAAAGTGGCTTCTCATTAATATATAGTGGGATGTAAATATGATATTTTAAATATAAAAAATACTCTAATCATTTATAAAAATGATAACTCAACTATAATATCACATTGTCAATTACAATGATTGAATTTTTTTAAAATTATCTATTTGATTGTTTTACATTAGTTTGATAAATTTTTATAATATATGTATATAGTGAGAGAAATATTATTAGTTCTATTTATTAGTTTTCTGTAATCTATGATTTATTGTATACACTATAAATATAATATTTTTAAAATCGTTTATGTAGTATCATATGTATTTATATTTATATTATAAATTTTTATAACGTAATCTATGATAATCAATGGTTTCAACAAAAAACAATTATGTTAATTCATTTAAGTTTAAGATGTTTGATTGTTTATTTGGTAACATATATTATATTAGGTAACTCTATGATTAGTTTCCTTTTAAAAACTTGATTTAAATAAATAAAAATTCAAAAACCAACAACCAATCAAATTAAGAGAATTAATTCTAAACTTCACCTATGAGTGACACCTAAGCAAAAATCATTAAAGTGACTTCTCATTTAATATATAGTAGGATTTTCTTACAAAGGAAAGCAGTGGAGTAAAATTTAAAATGTAAGTTGAAACAAAATATCATGAAATGTAGTTTTTTAGTTGCCCCTTTACCTTTTTGTACTGCATCTCATATATTAAACTATTCAATATATACTTCCAATAAAAGTTTAATGTTTTTAATATTTGTTTGTTCTACTAATACTGTATCGAAAATAAATATATTTACTCCAGAAGTATAAAAATATCTTTTAAAAACAATTATAGATAATACTGAATGGATCAGCTATAGTAATTTCAACTATATTAAAATTTTCTATAAAATTATTATCTTTGTTCGGAAAAATCATAACAATTGTTTTAAACCTTCTAGCTATGTTGTTTTGAGTTGACAAAAAAAAGCTATGTTGTTTGAATGCAAAACTTCTAGTATTTCGTATCCATTATATATTATATCTAACTACAGAATATTTGACTAAAATAATGTTTAGTTTTGATTAAAGAGAACGTTAGAATTTTATCGACAAAATAATTTTAAATGCAGAAAAACTGATTCGTTCGAAGGGGAAATACTAAAGCATGAGTCAAAAGGCTGGCAACAATTTTGTTACGTACATTTTCTTTGTAAAACCAGTGGTCAAGTGAAAATGTTAGAAAAACCAAGAGAAAATAAAACTCAAAAGGTTCTCTCTCCCGAAATCTCCCTCGTTCTGTTCAAACCCCGTCGTTGCGGCGACAATCTCCAATATTGGTGACCTTTATCGGTGTCGGCAACTCCTTCACTCTCTCTTATGTTTTCCTTTGCCTACTTGGCGTTTCCCAAACTTTTGTGGTTCTGGAGTCATCAGTGGTCTATGACACTGGTTTTGACTGTGGCGGAATAGGAACTTGACAGACATTTTTTCCTTATTTTTCATCGAACATTTTTTAAAAGCAAACAATATAATGGCAAATAAATTTACACAAAGTTGCTTGATGTTCCCATTCAGTTATTTATTATACCGGAGCGGTTACATCATTTTAGATTTCTAAAGTGGTGTGTAGTTAGAATTAGGTTTTTTTTTACTTTTATTATTTTTTAGAAAAATATATATGCTGAAGCCATTATTGTGATAAATTGATTAAATAATTAATGTTTATCTTATTAAAATAAAAGTATATAATAATATTTCCTAAATTTAAGTGTTGGCAAATAAATACGAGTAAGTTCTCACTGACGTTCTTGTCAAAGCTAAAAATCTGAGAATATCTTATCTAGGTTTGGGTACTTTATTTGAGATCCGAGGATCCTATCCGAAACCGATCCAAAAATTCTGGTTCGGAAACTGAACCAATCATTTATTCTATTGGATCTTGTTGTAAAGGATCTACGGGTCTTGGGTCGGGCCCGATCCGAACCCAAGACTCCACAAGATATTTGTAATATCCAAAATTTTTAGTATATATTAGATATATATGGTTATTTTAATATATTTTGGTATTATAGGTATTTTTTTACAAGTTTCAGATTTAAATTTTTGGGTATTTTGGATTAAAGGTAAAATTTTAAATTTTGCAAAAGACAATTCGGATAGTCGGATAAAAGTTTGGTATTTTCATGTATAAAATTTAAGATATTTTCAGGTATTACAATATTTTTAGGTATATTTTATGTGTTTTGGATATCTTTTGGGGTAGATTTGATATAATCTGAACCGAATCCAACCTGAAACTGAATCGAACCTGAATCGACAAATTCTGATTATCCTATTAGATTTAATAATTTAATATTTAAATTGATCTAGATCCGACATGATCTGGATCGATAAATGCTAATTAGCCTATTCAATTTAAATATCTAAGATTCGAACGATCTGGAGTCAGATAAAATCTGATCCAAACTGATCCGAGGATCCGAATGGCTAGGCCTAGTCTTACCAACCACATCGTTGGCGTGAAATTGTTTGGTTTTCCGAGGCAACACAAAACCAAGACCTGAATAATAATTTTACATTTTTAATTTTCCTGTTAAAAATAAAAAAAGTTTCAATTATTTTTTTCGGTAAAATCGAGTATTAATGAGCCAAAAGAGTTATAGGCCGACAAGCACATTGGACTGGCCTGCTCTGCGAACCCTAGTGTGTTTAATTTTTATAAAGTAACGTATGGTATAAGATTCGGCCTGCCTCCATCATCCATCCTCTCGAGCAAGCTTCTTCGATCTGTGTTTTGGTGTTGGTAAGTGTTTCTCTTTTTCTAACTTGTGGTAATAATGAAGGTTGGTTCTGTAACATAGAAGGGGTTGTGTCTGATTGCTCGCTTGCTTGCTTGCGGCTGAACAAAGGGAAATCGAATAAATAATTTCCTGTCGTTATTATTTTTATTGACCAGGAATAATGGAGAACGAATTCAAGAAGATACGCAGTGCGGTTCCAAAGGAAAGCGATTTTATGGATGTCATCGTTTCTCTCAAGGAGCGGACACCAACACTTCGTACCTACGATGATGATGAAGACGACTCTTTCGTGATAGACGACATGATAGACTCCTGTTACGTCAAGGTCAGCTCTGCTGTGACAAGATTTGCAGCATGTTCTTTAAGGTTTACGACGAGTTTCCAAACGTATCTCGGCTTGATCCGTTGTATCGTAGCATTCTTCATCGGCGCTTCAATTTCCTTCGCTACGAGGAAGCCCGAGGTGAAGCCTCGTATGCAAGTTATATGATGGCCAACATCTCTGCCAAGTATCTCAGAGCAGATGTCTGTGATTCCCTGGACAAGTGCAAATCCCTTAAAAGGGCTGCTTTTGCGCGTATGCTTGCTGTTGTAAGGAGATGCGTTCCTAGTCTTGCTTTTCTCGACAAAGTCCGTGAGTACATGGCCAATTTGGATGTTGGTGGTGAGCATGCTTCTGCTGGTGCAAATTACAATCACGATGAAGGCTACACTGTCCCGCAACTCACCAGACGTGAGTTTGCTGAAAACATTGATCAACTTGTTGATCCACAGACTTTGGTTTGGCTTGAGGAACTTGATCGTGTGAAATTGGTCCGTTGTGCTTCTACTTACACGGTAAATGAGGGCTTGCTTTCATGCGAAGCTGTCGAAGAGAATGTTTCACTCTCTTAGAACATGTACATGACTGAACTTCCTCTTGAGATTCATATGTATTGTTTATTAATTTTATGGTAGGGTCATGAATAGTGATGAACATCAATTGTGCTCATCTATCAATGAACCTAAAGTCGGGGTTTATAGAAATAAAATAATATATTTTTTTCAATAATAAAATAATTTTTACTTTTTTTGAAAAGTTGGTATTCAATATAATGAGAATTTTTGAATAAAAAATATTTTTAATATTTTTTAAAAAAATTGAGAATTTATGAACATAGAAAATATTTTCTAATACTTTTTTTTTAAAAAAAATTATTCAATACAATGAGAATTCATAAACTTACAAAATATTTTAAAATACTTTTAAAAAGCTTTTTTCAATACATTGAGAATTCATGAACATACAAATATTATTCATCTAGATTACCAAACTTTTGTCATACATATCATACATATCAGAATAGAATGTTTCTAAATAAACTCTGCGAATAAGGATGTTACTTTTTTGTTGCACAAACTCATATCCTGAAATGGTAAAACAAAACACACACGAAGGTTTTATATAAAGTTAGTAAACAAAGCATGTCTCGAAGTGAGCAAATATACACAAATGCATCAGTGTTCACAGATAATAGCTGTAATATTTCGATAAGAATCTCGTCCTAAATGGCAAGTAGTCCAAGCATGGTTCATCCTCTGGCCTTGAGCTCTGAAAGCCTCTTGGACAAGTCATCCTCATCAACTTTCTCCTCTGTCGCAGTGGGAATGGCATGACCAGCAGCCTGAGGTAGTCCAACAGAGACTTCAAGACCATAATCATCTGCTACCTGCTGCATAAGGTAGTCCAACATAGTCATAACTCATACATGAACAGTAAACAAAAATTTTGTTACGTACATTCTCTTTGTAAAAACAGTGGTGTTTGATCCAAAAAAAAACACTGGTCAAACTGAAATGTCTAGAAAAAAACAATATACGTTCTCGTGGTTTTTCTAACATTTTCACTTTGACAATTTTGTTACGTGCATTCTCTTTGTTACGTACATTCTCTTCCCGGTTAAAATAAAAAAAGTTTCAACTATTTCTTTTTTCTGTAAATCGAGTATTAATGGGCCAAAAGAGTTATTGGCTTTGCGAACCCTAGTGTGTTTATTTATATAAACTTGTGTTTATGAAATTTCAACCACTTATTTCACTTTCTAAACAAACAATACTTCATTTCCTCTCATTTCTTCTCTATTTTCATCTAAACAATCCTCATAACTCTCATTTTCATAAACACAAACTTCATAGTTTCGATTTTATCCACAAGTGGATCGTAAAGGTTGCTTCTTTTGCTCATATTTGGATTCTAGACGGTGGAAAAGCTTGGAAACAAGCTTTAAACCGGTGTCAAGGTAACTCTTTACAAGCTTTTCGTCATATCTCTGAT